TTTTTTTTTTTTCCCCCCCCCCTCCCCCCCCCCACCGCGAGAGCTCACTCATCTGTTAAGTCTTAGTCCTCAAATTGAACACATGAGGGCTACCTGCAAGGTGCTTACATCACGCCCTGCTGCACCAAATTTCATTCAGGATGACTTAAATGATATTACTGATCACTTCAAATCTGTCCAACAGAAATTAGAGGATCACCGCCAACAGCTAAAAAGAGGTAAACCGGTGTTGTTCAACCTATATGAATGCCTCTGGTTTTTTTTCCCTTTGAAAAAACAGATTTTTGCAATATCTGAATGAGGAGTCTGACCTTCTTGAAGTCTGTGAGCCTAGGCCTGCTCCATATAGCTACTGTTTTTTCTCCTCAATGACAAAACTATGTAAATCATGTCATCACATTGAAAATGCCATACAGAACTCATAGCTTCTTATATAAATATAATATAGCTTTCCAGTTTTTTCTGTTTACTCACAGTATATGGCACCCTGTGTTGGAAAGGATATCCAGATACTTAGTTTATTCATATTGGGTGCACTGTAATGCTAGTGACTTCAAAAGAGTTTTTTCCAAAAAATGAGTGCTGAGACTGCTACAAGGGAATGTAAAGAGAGACTTTTTTCTTTTTAATATAATGGTATCATTTATAATGTGGCATGTAATAATGAAATATTTTATTGCTATTCTTGCCAAGGAACATTAATCTCTCAGGAAGTAGTCTCCTACTCTATATAAACAGGATAGACAACAATACAACTTAAGATATTTGAGGTCCTTTTCTCTGGGACCATCCTGTTGAGAAGAATTTGGTTCATGATCAATCATGGTTGCACAAGAAAGGAGAAATAAATTCCATTTATGATTTTATTATGCTTTTATTTTAAATGGAAAATGAAGGAGTAAAAGAATGCTATGAAATTGATATGTGCATGCAGAAATGTGTTTTTTTAATTTACAGCTTTATTGTAATTCATACATAATTCCATTTTGAAATTCTGCTTTAAAAACAAATTACTTTGCTGGAGCTGTTTGGAATTTGACTTGCTTTTCATGTACATGCTGCTTAGTTCTCTGTGACACTAAAAGCTTCATTATGAGCCTCCAAACCAGGCATGCTGGCTTCTGAGGGATTTTTAATGTAGCACACACGTAAATTGTTCTGTTAATATTTTTCAGCTAAATATCAGTTGCACAGACCTATAAGCAGATCTTTTTCCCTAACTATACTTTTTTTTGTTTTATGCATCCAAGAGGCTTGCTGAAGTGTTTTGTGCTGGTTCCAGATGGTGGAGCAGAAACATTTGCTTTTTCTGGGTGCAGTAAAAATAGGTTCAAGTACAGAGCTATTAGGGCAGCTATTTAACTATATCATGTAAGGACTGAATCCTTTAAAGGCACATTGGTTCAGGAAAGTGTATGATTAACATCCAGTGCACCATGCTACAATTATAAGGTATATGTTTACGCTTTTTGTGATGAAGAATTATTTTGTGACCTGTTTTTAATTTGGTTCACATAACATGTGAACAAATTTAATATTGCTTATGGCCATAGATTTTTACAAGATGTGATTAGAATGTTTGGAAGCAGGTTATTTTTATACTTAACAAACGACCTAAAGCAAACTTGTTTCCTATCAGTGCCAATATATTTTAATTATTTTTTATCTGGTTGAGTAAATGCATCGTAATTCAAATAATTATATATGTTCAGTTTGGATTAAATATTGGTTTTAAAACTGTAGTTTCTTTACAAATTAAAGTGTTTGCCATTGTGCAAAAAGTGCTGTACCTCTAGTTCTGCAAAGAAGAACTTAGTAGTATCAAAACATAAACATTCTGCCATAGTGAAAGTGTCTGATTAATTTAGATAGAATTGTCATAAATAAAACCTTCAGGATTCTATACAGGGAAAACTGCCAGGGCTGAGAGTCTATAGAGTTTATGAACTGAAGGTTTCCAGTTTCTGTTCATGGTAGTTTTTTTCAGCATTTGATAGTCCCTTGTACCTAGAGTTGTGTTTACTGTGAGCACAATTCCATACAGATGTTTTGATAAGAACCACAACTTGAAGTTTCTTTCAAAATTCTTTGAAATCTGTTTATCTAAATTCACTATAAGCAAGCTCCTTACTGTCAGGTTTTACTGTTCTTTAAAATTTTAAACATAGCTTGTTTATTTGCCTTGCCATGAAATGCTTTCTCTTAAGCAGATATTGCTTTCTTTATAAGAAAAAGTGCTATATGGGTTTGGTTTGCCTCCAGTGGTGTTGACTCATTTTGCAGGTATAAATGGCATGATAGTTTTGACAGTCCACTGCTGAAAAAGAGCCTAGTGAGTCACTGCAGGGCTCAGCTGAGTTTTCAGTTGTGGTGCTAAAGAAACTGCTTATGTATCTAAGGCCAGGGAGTATATATATTTTGGTAAGATTTTGATAGACAGACTCTTTTTCATTGCTGATTTTGAAATTGAAATGTTTCTTGTCAATTTCAGAAATGTACAGACTAATTACCAAATTCTTTGTGAGATCCTAAAGAAGGCAAAAGCAGGAAACTTAAAAGCAAATAAAGATATGCAGCAAAGGTCCTGGTAATGAATCCAAGATTCTTGGCTTTAGCTGATTCTTCACTTGTCCCCAAGTAGTCCCTGGCATGTTGCCAACTCTATTGTTTCTCCAGGAGCACTGAACATATGTAGTTTTTTGAAGATTTTATCTTAACTCCCAGAGACTCTGTAGGTGTGTCCTTCTTAGTTGTGATTTTCAGGTATTTAGGTTCCTAAATCTGAAGTGGGCGGTATGACCCAATGTCCTTGTTTCAGTCCCATTTTAAACATCTGTCCAGGCATTTTGTCAGTGTGGTCAAATGAATGGTTTTGTTCTATTTTCAATGGGATGCCTGGGACTTGTGTTTAAAACAGAATTGTCCTGGTGAAGACGGGATTGAATCATATCCAGGCCACCCCAACCCTTCACTCTCCGACATGCTCAGCTGAGACCCATGCTCAGATACAGTGGGGCATGCCAGACAAAGTTTTGAAACTAGGGAAGTATGGTAATCCTTCAAGTGGGTTATTGTGGTGGAGCAGCAAAGAGGTACTTCTTCGGAGACATGAATTGGAGCCTTGTTCAGACTTGTGCTGCAGGCGGTCCCTAGTTCTTAGTTGGCACCTACTTATTCTTACTGAGAGTCAAAAGTAGCTGGATGTGAGGTTAGCCCCATCAGTCCCTTGTGTGCTGTTGGCTATAGAGCATTGCATGTCTTAGCCGTGTTAATACGATAGGTTACATAGGTTACGTAAAACCTGTGAAATTGTTTTTGAAAACGGGAAGGAGGCTTCTTAAGTCATGTTGGGAATGTTATTTCTTATATTTTTATACCTTTTACTGTATGTTATACAGATGAAACATGAACCAGAAAGGGCCCATCTTCTCCACTCTGGTTATTTGTGGTACAAGGAGTAAGCAGTTATTTTTGTGTGTGGTTAGTTTTTATTTGTTTTTCATAGACACCTCAAAAAAACTACCATCACCACAAACATTTCCATGAAAATTTAGCTGCTTGCAAGCTTTATATTTTGTGGGAATATCTCTCAAACAGATTTAAAAATAACCAAGTAGCCTTGATGTAGACTTATTCCTTTTATAAATAAAAGTACTCCTTGTTCATTTACATACATAGCACTTTTTAAAACAATAACGGTTTTACCAAAAACAGAGCTAGAAAGACAGCCTAGCCAGGAGTATTTGGATGCGTTGAAGAGACTGAAGGATGTATTGAATGAATCTGAATATAAAACACAGTCTATCATGAACTCAATGAATGACCCTAGTAAAGTGGAAAAAGCCTTACAACAGACAAAGGTAAGTTTATCTTTGTTTCCTCAGCTATTAACTTGGCCTCTTGTGTAATTTACTAGCCCCAGGGTTGATATTTTTCCTGTGACGCCACATTTTCTCACATTAGCTGCTTCTGACTATAATACACACCCTGGTTTTGAAAAGGTAGCATGAAGAAAAAAGAATCTTACCTTCAATAAGTATTTGAGGAGCAGCAGCTAGGGAGCCAAGCCTCTTGCCAGACTCACATGTTGAGGTGGCCTGCAGACTGATTTAGTGTGCTGGCCCAATCCATCTGAGGCCTGCAGTTGCATCCTGGGTCCAGGGCCATATGCTGGGTCCAGCCCAGTGCAGCGGGTGTGGGCCTGCATGTTTGGTTTGACCATGGCCCAACCCCACACTTGGGGCCATGTCATTTGGCTGGGGGGAGTTCCCCCTTGAGTCCAGAAATTTGGTAGAACAGTGACAGCATTAATAGCCATGGCTTTTGGAGCTGCAGGAATTAAGGCTGCTATCGCTTCCCTGCTGCCACTTTTCCAGATCCATGGGGATCCATTTTCCTCGTATATTATACACACCTTAATTTCTATCAGTTGGTTTTGGGGAACAAGGTTTAGGTTATATACTACAAAAATAGGTACCCTCAGGCTTTTTAGCTAGGTTGCCTGAGAAATGGAAGTACATAGAGGTTTTGTATACCCTAGGCAAATTCAGTCTGACGTACACTGTTTCCTAGATAAATTAACTTTATGAATTGAATTGTGTAAGACTTCACCTTTTAAAATCAGAAACTTGCATACTGTATCTGTGTGTTTATTAATAGGGCCTCCTGGGTGGCTTTGCAGAGGCCAACAGTACTAGTGTTCATATACCACATGGAAAACTTCCTTACAAATTCTGTAATCTGGGAAGAGTAAAATCTTGCTTACAATTCCATGCTTTTGGGGTAGGCAGAAATCTTTGGATGAAAGTTGCAATATAAACATCAGTCAACACCAAACAATAATGTTTCCAAAAGGTTTTGTGTGTGTGTGTGCGCATTCTTTTAAAATTACCTTTAATCTATTCCCCATCCTGTTTTGAAAATTGCTTTAGTACGGTAACATTTTCCTCTTTCTCTGTGTTATAGTTTAGGAGTGTTTGGAAGGAAGCTGGTGAAACTCTTGAAGATAAATCACTTCTTTATATACACACATGCATACACTTTTGGTTGAGAGATTCAATTAGGATAGCTGAAGTTCCAGTAAATGAGGATATAAGTACTTTGCTTGCAGAGCCAGCAAACTACAAAAGAGCTGGAATTCTGCAGCTTGCTGTTTTGATATAGCTGCTATGGTGCTTAAAATTGGCAGAAACTTTTGATTCAGAGACTTGCAGCACACACAGAATGCAACTACATGTTCATTAATGCACCACAGTTACTGTGCTTTAAGTTTAGTACTTGTATAATCAAGTACTAAGTCAATGCGCGGTGACTGGCGCTACTGCACATTAGTGCCAGTGCACACCTTTTTAGTGATGCTACTGTGCAGCAGCTTAATACTACTGCGCAGTAGCATATTAGCACTGTTTTTGATGTGATATGCTCCTGAGTATTTAGCATCTTGTGTAGATGCACCCAGGGTGTTAGAAACCGTAAGTATGTTGATTTTCTAGTCTTTAGAGAGGTAGTTAGCTGTGGTTAATCAGAAGTCAGGGTATATATACACCCTTATAGAGTAACCAGGTAAGATTATATATAGAGCACAAGCTTTCATAAACCTGAGTTCACTTAATTGGATGCTATGAAAGGAAGTACAGAAAGCAGTGTATAAGAAGAAGAGAGAAATTAGAATACAAAAGACAAGAGGGAGAGGGAGAGGGAGATGGAGAGGGGCAGTGTTAGGAGAGAAAAGCAAACCAGCAGTAAACCCATGGGAACAAAGGGGGTCACAAATGCTAATCCAGGTAATGAGATTAGAATTCATAGTATCTGTTTAAGCCATACTTAATACAGTCCAGTCTGGATGATTTTTTGTTCTACAGTTTGCTGTTCAAACTGGTTTTTTTAATTTTTTTTTTTTTTTGCCTGAGAACAGCAATCTTCAGATCTGTGAACCTGAGGTCATTAGGCATCTGTCTGATCCTTCTTTTATTACAAAAACCTTCTCTACCTTTGAGACTAATTTACCAGAAGGGACATACCAAGCAAGTGCAAATGAGTACTGTGAAAGCTATAATAGAAGGCAACATCAATTTAAAGATGGCAAGATGGGTGAGAACTCAAGTGACCTATGTTGCCCTCACTCTTGCAAAGAGCTATAGGTGCCTGTGGCCTGAATCCCAAGTTTTACATAACATGGTGGTCCTTATTTTGAATTACTTTTAAAGGCTAGGGGCTTTATTTATTTTTTTTTTGCAATTAATTTTTGAAAATTGGGCATTCCAGTGACCAGCCAGCTTTTTATTATTTTACAAATGCTTAGTGCTTTTTATTTCAATGTTGTAATCTTATATTGCAGCATAGCAGAGTAGCTTCAAGAGTCAAGGTAGTCCATGCTTTCATTATGCTTAGTTGCTGTTACATATTTTCACTTAGGTGTGGTACTTGTAAAAGAGGGAAATAAAGGAAGAGTATTGGAGCCAATTTATGGGAGGCACAAAAATAGCAGCCACCCCTGTTGTTGGTTTGGCGTTGCTCTGTGTGCCACTGCTGTCTAGTTATGCCTCTGGGTTCTGGGAGTAGCATAGTTGTAGTGTCACACAGATTAGTTTGGGCTTACCTACCCAAGCAGGTTTTACAGACTTTGCTGACCTCTGTGCTGCTGCAGCTAGTTTTGGGAGTCTGCCCTATGCTGCAGTCACAGCAGTGCCTGCAGTGTGGGCATATTTTTGCTCTGTACTGTCCACAGTATGCCATATGTAATACTTGCATTTCTGTACATATGTACATACTTCTGCACACATTACTGCCCATATGTATCTTTTTATACTATTTTCTCTGCAGACTCTTTGTGAAAAAGTAGAAAGCCAGAAGCCCTCAGTGGATTACCTGGTGGCTGAAACAAAAGCTTTGGAGAAACAAGCTTCTTCTGATGTGGCAAAGATCTACAAGCAAGAATTCAGGCGTATACAGGGCCAGTGGGACAAGTTAAAGGTTAAGGTTTCCCAAGATGTTCATATACTGGAGGAAATCTTATCCAAACTAAGACTGTTTGAGGTAAAAATAAATATTTAGGTTTATACTTTTTTTTCTCTATAAGACTGTTCTCTTGTCCATTTGCATGCAGGAATCCAAGTGAAGTAAATAAATCGAATGTTAAATAGAACTGTTACCCAAGCACGACATGAAACTGCTATCATAGGGAATACTGAACTATAGCATAATTTTGGGCTAGGTATGCCTAAATTTAAAATATCTGATTTACTTTTCATCATTGGATAGAATTGATTTTCACTTAATAAAAAGGAGGAACGTTATTTTTATATTTTTTCAATTAATTGTTGTAAGCTGTTTATAAATTTATGGATACTCTGTAAAAAAAAACAAACAAGAAACAACAACCAAAAAACAAACAAACCCCAAACCAACCAACAAACAAAACACCCCCCTCTAAAACACAACCTAAAAAAATTAATTTTCCCTTCTGTAAAAACATGAAGCAACTGCAGATTTAATCTCCGTAGCCAAAAAAAAAAAAAAAGAAAAAAAAAGAGGCTGGAGTCACACTGCAAGACAGGTGGAGCACAGCAGTCTCACCTGCTGTCTGAGTGGGAGCTCAGCACCCTGCATTCAGGGAGCTCTTGTCAGAGCTTTGCCATTCACCAAAGCCCACTGTAGACATGTTCAGACACTCAACTGCCCCCCAGCTCTTAACAGCTACTTGCATCTGTTAGGTACAGGGTAGAGAGGTAGTGCAGCAGGATGGTGCCGCGGGAGAGGGAGAGGTGGAAGGAGGTCCTTGCCAGGACAGGGGGAGTGGGGTTAGCTGCAGGATGGGTCCAAGGAGTGACCAGGATAGTGTGTGGTGTAACTGGTTATGTCAATGTGTGGAATGAGCAGGGGACCCCTATAGTGGGGGAAGCAGTGTGTAAAACTACTGCTGCAGTTGTACAAGGATGCCAACCCAAGAATTTTTCTTAAATGACTACAGATATGTCAAGAAAAATGTTTCTGTGTTAGAAAAAAATATGCAGCTTGTCAGCGGGGGAAAAAACATTTTTGGGTTGGCAATCCTGTTTGAAAGGTAGAATTAGAAATGGTTAAACTAGAACTGGTGATTCTTTGCCAAGTACATCTTTGAAGACAGTGCTGTGATGGGCTTAAGTGCTCTTGTCTACCTCTGATGACCCTGCAGTGTTAGAGCATTCAGTTTCTCAGATGGTGTGCTCAGCACCTTGCAGGGGCAACCCCTGCACTCTGATTTTTAAAAATCACAATCCTGCTTCTGCTTCTGCATCAGGCATAATACAGCATTAGTACAGAGCTTTCAAAAAGGAAGGGAAAATGAGAATGATATATAAAATAAGTATTCAGGCATGGTGCTTACGTTCTAAAAATTGGATTTTCAAATGTCAGAAGTAGTGGATGTAAAGATTAATTAGAACCTGGACTATACTGACCTGATTTTTTTTTATTGTCTTCTCAATCTCCACAAACATTCTTAAGAGGTAGGATAAGAAATGGCATCATTTTAGGATGGGAAGGATTATTGAAACTAATCAGTGCCAAACAGATTCCTTGTACAGAGTAGAATCTAATTCCTGAGTCCTATCCCTGTTGTCTGCCTATTATTTAATGTTGTCCCACAAAGTGAAAAATCATTGTATCGCAACTTAGAAAATACATCCTGTAGTAAAACTATTGGATGTACACGAGATGCTGATAATGTTTTATAGCTATGAACTAATGTGCATATAACAATTAGGATAGCATAAAAGCTAATCTGGCTGTCAGTGTGGAGGTGTTACTGTGTAAAGTGTTGATAATATTATAGTGCTTGCTTAGACACTGAATATATTCTGGGTTTGTATTTCCTTTCCCCTTTTTTTGTTTTTATTGAGGTACTTCTCAGCCATCCCTTAATTTAGCAGAAATTGTGACTTCAGATTCTGAATACAAAGGGTTTTTAATTTTTTTTTTACAAATTGAAATTAGTGACAGAAGATATTAAATTCCCAAACTGAACTGCTGCATGAATCATATTTTCACTTCTTAAAATTGGTGCTTTATTTGGAATATTTAGCTAATAGATTATGGAGAGGAGGAAATCTGCTAATTTGTCCTATCTTTTAAACAAGAATTGAATCTGGTTTTATATGCAATAAACATTTCAAGATAGTCCATGTTTAATTCATATAGTTCACACACAATCTAATTTTTTAGTGAACATTATCTTTTTAAATCTTGAGGGCCATTAGAGTCAGGTTTTTTGGGTTGTTTTTTTTTTAAAGGCTGTGAACCCATACTGAAATAACCTGGGAGAGATCTCCTGTGTTTGTTTTGCTTGAAAGAAAAACTTACCCAGAGATGCTTGAGCAGTCATTTGAATGCTGAGCCTGTGAAGAGCAGAGAGCTTGTAGTGCTGATGCTGCATATCCAGGAGGCCCTGGAGCACACATCTCAGCATGTTCTGCAAGCTCCCTCAGTCTGTCTGGAGATAGAATGGCAGCAATGCACAGAATGGGCAGGAGCTTGTTGGGATGTTGGAGACCTGTTGTGGCATCTTGCAGAAGACAGTCTGTAAAGGTACTCTTGTGGGAATGATTTAACCCTAGTTATTCCCAGGTTATTTTTCTCCTGGAGTGGCCATTTTTACTCTGGGAGAAAAATCCTGAACATCTGTACACTCATGGTTTCTTCCAGGAGAAACTGAATGTCAGTACATTGACACAGCCTGAAGTGCTTTTTTTAAAAAAATTTAAACTTAGTCTTCTACTGTTTTGAACTGTTTTCAGAGAGGAAAACTATACACTTTTATTTTGGAGATCAGGGGAACTTAAAATCAAGTTTTGATGCAGACAGGAATTGTAGGGAATAATTAAATGCAAATACTATGGTATCTCTTAATAGAGTAGTTGAATAGTGTAAGCCTAGCTTTCACGATTTACTTTAATCAGAAGTTGGACAGGCTGATTATTGTTGGGAAATGAAAAAAAAAAAAAAGCTTGAGGCTTATTAGTACAAGCTTGGGAAACCAGACCTGCGGTAAAATTTTTTTAGCTTCATTTGACCTGAGGCACAGAGGTCACACCCACATATTAACACAGGTATTTGTCCAGGGGAAGGTTTAAGAAATACTTACTCCTGAATTTAATACATTAGTCATTAATCTTTAGTTCCAGACTCTGGACTCCCGTCCAGTTTACTTCTGAGTCATTCTCTGCGCAAGTTTTCTATACGTTGGAAAAAAATAGTAGTATTATGACAGTCATGGGTATGTGGTCCTAATAAACTTGTAAACAGAACCCACAAGGCAGCCTGAGGTTAAGAGGAAGGTGGAAGTAGTTTTGCACTGATGTATGTTTATGTTCCTCTGGGATCTTTTATCTTTTCTCAGTTCCCTGTCCATTTTGCAGTTCAACTTATTACCCCCTCTAATTTCTTTTACTCACTCTGTCTTTATTAGTAATTGTCATCCATTCAATTTGGCACTTAACTAAAGATGTGTAGGTAGTTCCCATATTCACCCAATTAAATACTGCTTAACCTGTGCAGGATTGATTCCTGAAAATGAAAATCCTGATTTTATACTTAAGTGAGGGCAAGAGAGTAAGATACTTGTGCATACTTTATGCGTGGCAGATTAAGTATTTTGGTTAGATTTACTTCAGTGAAGTGATGCAAGTACCAGCCTTTTCTGATCTGCAGAGTTTTACTCAGTATTGGTATTCTGCTCTCTCTGTGCATATATGTCATGTGTTGATGCCAAGGCCACAGATGTCCCATTCATGTCACTAGGATTTCTGAAGACCTAGGGAGAGCAGAGTACAAAGAATGAAATTTTGTCAATAGTGAGGAGTTAATATTTGCATATCATCTTAATAAAGGGAAAAAGTTAAAGGAAACTGCAAGAAAAGATGGTATTGAAGTACAGGAAGTCCTTGGACTTACGACCCAATTGGTTCCTGAAAACTGCGTCTTAAGTTGAAACAATGTTATAAATGGGGGATTGGTTTCTGAACCAAGGCCCAATACCCTATTTTCAACAAAAATAACCCAGAATTTTGTACTCAATCAACTATAGATGAGTAATATAGCTACATTAATGTATTTATATTGTAAATAGCAATCATACTGATTTGGAAGGACTTCTTCGAGGAGACTTTCCTGGACTTTCTGAAGGGCTCTTGGCTGGAGTCTTCTCAGGAGTCTTGGCTGCAGGTTTTTCTGGAATCTTGTCTGCTTTGTTAAAAACAGTGTCCAAGGAAATTTGATGTTCTCTTCTTTTTCTTGTCAATTTCTCTGTAGCAGCTGTACAGGTTGGATATGCCTCTGTTCACTGATGCATTGCGTTTAGTGTCAGTGTCATGTTCCTCAAACAGGGACACGGTAACTTCCAAATGTTGAAATGCCTCAGCCAACACTTTTGTTGTCAAGACTTTAAGGAGGATACTCTTCAACTTATAGGAAGTTAGCTTGCATTTGCATTACATGTTCTTTACTTTTCAGTATTTCTATTTTCTGTTAGCATTTTTTGACATTTAAGTAGCACAACAATAGTGCATGTCATCTGTATATCTTAAGAGGGGAGTTAAGTGCCATCATCCTTACTTCATACGTGAGGAAATAGAGGATCACAGTGAAATGACTTGTTTGCTTGCACATATTAGATCAATGCAATGACAGAGCTGCATGTAGAAATCCCGATTCTCCATCTCGTGCATTACCCCCGGGGCTGTCTTGCAAGGAACTCCAAAATTTCCCCTCAATTATGGGAAGTGAATTCTGTTGCTATCGGCATGGCATGGGCCACATTGACTTCTTTACATTTTACTTCAGAAAACAAGAGGAGAGAGAGTCACTTTCTTTAATGGTGTATTTTTTACAAACTTAATAGAAATGATTAGGGAAAATATTTTTAAGCAGGTATCTCCACGTTATTAAGAAGATTGTCACATTCACATATTTTCTACATGGACAGCTGTAGTAGGGGTCTTCTGTATAGAAAGCTGTATTTGCCTCCACATTGAGAAGGCTACAAGGACTACTCTGATTCCTGGCAGATTTTCAACTTCCCAAATTGGCTCTGGCCTCTCATGTCTCAGGCGGAGTTCCAGGGTTGATTGATCAGAAGTGTGGATAGGTATTGGTCTGGGATAATACTGGAATAGCACAAACAGCAATTTGTGCAGTGTTAGACTTAGATGACCCTTGAGGTCCCTTCTACTTTTATAGTTTTATGTTAGGGTTAGGAATGCGGCATGATCTTACCCAGTGCTTCCATAACATTGTATGATAGACTTTTGCTCTCGTGAGCCACAGGGTAAAAAAAAATAGGCTGGAGTTAGTTCTCTAAAGTTTTTGTTCTGCAGATGTTTTTCTAGATTATGTCATCTCTGCCATATGGTCTTATTTGCTTACTAAACTCTAGCTTTCCATTTGATTTATTCATCTGCACAGATAGGCTTGTTGTTATTGGTGTTGATGATAATGTTCAGAATGTTTAATCTTTGTTTCCAGCTGGGATGAAATGGGGCAACTCATCTAATATTAACCTTATCCCAAATTTAGGGGGTAATTTTCAACAAAATCTGATTGAAAATCTATATGATTGCCTGAGTAGTATGCTTCATTTCTCTCCCTCTCCCCAGCTACTTCCCAGTCCTCACTGAACAGTGTATGAACTTTAACTTTATTCACCTTTTGTAGACTTAAGTATTGGTTCAGGAAGCCTAAGTATGTGAGTAGCCCATTGAATTCATTTTGGCTGTTTATGTGCTTAACATTAGGCATGTGCTTAAGTATCTTGCTGAGTCTTAATGAATACATTGTACTGTGGTTTCATTTTTGGAGCCTCCTTTAGAAATTGATTGCACAAAGCAGTTTAATCAGCTGCAGAAAATTCCAAAAGCTGGAGGAGGAACACAAATATGACAAGAATCTTACCCATAAATCATTTTCCTAGTAGGTTTTGGATAAAAATAAACACTACAGTGGGCTTCCACTGTAGATTTTTTTGAAGGTCATCAATAATATTTAGATCCTTAAAACATTATCATTACAACTTTTCCACTAAAGTAAGGCATATATTTTTTCCACTGTGACATTCAGTTTAGAATATACACTTGTACTTCCTACACTGCAGGTCTGTGCTAGGATGGTTGTGTCAGCATAATGTGAAACTGGTTCACAGCAAATGTAAAGCTCAACCCCCTCCCCCCCGCCGTGTTCTTTAAAGCATTACCAAATCCATAGTTTCCTTTCATGTAAATATAATTAAGAATGAGGGGAAGAAGCATGAAAAAAATCTGCAAATGATGATAACATCTGCAATTACATGAGACAGGGTAGAACCGTTTTTATTAGAAAGGAAACAGAACCTTGCTCTTCAGGCTATAACCCAGCTGCTTACAGGAAGCAGTTTCCCTTAGGTGGGGCTTAAAACTCTAACTATTGAGGACCACTTAAGAGTGACATTTTGTTTTCAACAGAGGGTCATCTAGGCACATGTACAGCCTTGGCTGACTTGTTGGGTTGCTGATATTTCCTTGGCAGACTGTTCCCAGCACCATTTGCCTTCTGATCAAGTTATACCATAACTGTATATGTGAGGGGTGCTCAACCCCTGGCGCATGGGCTAAATGCAGCTTGCAGAGCCTTGGAATCTGGCCTGCAGGGCTCCCCATGGGTCAAGAAATTGGGCATTGGGCAGCAATGGCCATTAATACAGCCACCCTCCCTCCTGCTAAATTTCCAGACCCCAAGCCCTGTGTACCCAGTCAGAGCCAGGCCGCACTCCCTCCCGCTCTGTGTTTTTGTGTGGGGGGGGTGCTGCCTGGCTGGGGGTGTGGTGGGGGAATGCCTCTACCCCCTGGGCCTGGGTGAAGCCCCCTTTCCTGTCTTTGGGCCCAGAGTGGGTCTGCCTGCCCTCCTGCCCGCCTCTGCATGGTTGGATGGGGCTCTGGATAAGAACCGCTGGTGGATCTGGCCTGTGGTCAGACTGGGCATTTCCCATACAGCCCACCAACACCACTGGTACATGCTGTGGAGCCTTTGAAATATCTGGGACTATACATTGTTAGAGACAGATTGTTGGATTTGGTGTCTACCAATAGAGGCATGAGACTTGTGCTTCTCTCCAACCAGGCCTCTCAGTGGAAGGGGTTGGCAGGAACTCCTGCAGGCTCCTTACCTCTGCTTCTCTCCTGATCCTACTGCACCTATGTAATGGCCAGAAACAGTGTGGCCCATATTCGGCTATTCTGTGGCTTGCACGTGAAACTGTACAATAGCTTTTTCTTTGCATTCATATCAATTTAGATGGGAAAAATTACCTCTCAGACAGAACAGGAATTGAGACTGTGCCTAGCAGCTTTCTAAATTTTCTGTCTTCATTACCAGTTGCTGCTGAAATGCTATAGTTAGAGGCTGTTCATCACTGTGTTATATCAACCCTTCATTACTGTGTTCGATTTAGGCTGATTCAAAAGTCATGCAGAAATGGATGGATGGTGTGAAAGACCTTCTAATGAAAGAACAGGCCATTCAAGGAGATTCTGAAGGGCTTCAAAGACAGCTTGACCAATGCACAGTGAGTTCTGCTGATCTAAGGAACCTTCTGTAATAAATAGTGTTGTTTTCTAACCTTTGTTATTTTGCTACTGTTACTAAGCATAGCAAATGATGCATTGAGTCAAATTGCAAGAAAATTCTCTCCATCTCCATCATTTTGTCCCAGTCATATTTTTTTGCTAGCTCCTCAGTTTACTCGCCCATAATATTTTGCGCTTATTGTGCTGTTTTCAAGTCTCTAGGCATGCCAGTATCCAGGGAATTTAGCTTTGCATGTCCACCATGAGACTGGTATTTTCCCTGTTTTACAGCTGAGGGAATTGAAGCACAGTGAAACAAAGTGACTTACCTTAGTTACCCCCGGAAATCCTGTGAAAATTCAGGGTTAGAATTCGGATGTTTCTCTTGTCCAGTTCTTTGCCATAACCACAAAATTATTTTTTTCCATGACCATTGGCCTATAGTAATACCCTGCAAGAGCTGAAATGATATACTTAGAGGCTGTTCCTCACAGTGTTACATCAACCCTCCATTACTGTGTTTGATTCAGTTCAATCGTATGTGAACAAATGAATAAATAGCACCTGAAATTTTATCTGTTTCTTGAATGGGTTTCCCTTATTCATGGATGTTTTGAAGTTTCTGAAATGGAACTTTTAGTATACATGGCATCTTCTTCAAACTCATAGAGTCCTAAGGGGATAATGTAATATCTATATAATGTTCTACAAAGTAAAAGTACTACTACTGTATACTCCCATTTTAAAAAATATATGTTGTTAATGTGTATATTTTCTGCTGTGTGTTCAGCTGTTTGTTAACGAAATGGAAAAGACTGAGCTCTCTTTGAAAGAGATGAAAGAAGTAGAGTCTATTTTAAGAAATCAGCCTATTCCAGGAGTTCATACTTGGGCAAAATCTAGGTTGGTGGACTGCCAGACACAATGGGACAAACTGAGCAAACAGGTCAGTTAATGGTAGTATTGTTACTTTGTTATCTGATAATTCTTCATTGTATTCTCTTGAGTGTAGGCCTTAGTAGGATGGCTGAGTAATACCCTACCTTCTGCCTGAGTAATGAATGTCAGAATAGGAGTGTCAGCCATTTAGATGACATCCTGTTATTAAAATGTCTTTAAAAACGTTGTAAAGGTTGTGGCTGAAAGTACTGCTCCCACTTTGCAAAATGATTGTTCAACTAACCAGCACTTTACTTCAGCACTGTACCCTTTGAGGTGAGTGCCTTTCTGATTTTTAAATATTTATAGTTTCAAAGCTACTAATATGGTGATAAATCAAAAGACATGATGCATAAAAGAGTAAGGTTTTCTTTCATTTGTTGAAGAATGAAAGTGACGTTTTTATCTTGTGATTCACGTTTTTGATTCTTTAACACAGGGCTGTTCAACTTGTGATGTGTGGGCTGCCTGTGGCCCACAAGGGGTTAATTGTGGCCTATGGGCTTCTGGATGGGCAGCACTCCTTCCACTCTTCTACCTGCTGCTGCTCCTTCAGCTTTTTGTCCCCACTCCTGGGGATTGAATAGTGTTGTGTCGTCTACAGGACCTAGAGAGCCTGGGATTCAGTGTGGTGCAGTGTTTGGCCCCTGGCTGCTCAGCAGTTGGATAGACCCGTTTTAACACAACAACCTACAATGCTCACGTGCTCCGTTGTCGGCAGTCTGAGCACATGCTTCCACTGACTTCTACTTGGAGTTGTGCTTCAGAGGTGTAAGGGAGAGTGTGGCCCTGTGTTTACATTTCAAAAAGCGATCAGTTGTGAGCATTTTTAACTAGAGTATTAAAAGCTGTGTAAAATCAGAAATACTATTTCAAATGTTGCATTAAAAAGTAAAAGTATAAGCCAGAGAAAGGAAGCTATGGCTCATGACCTGTATGTGGATCCCTTGCAGCGTCAGTGTGACTCCAGAAAAAAAGAGAAGTACCTCATAATTAAATAAAAAATTTTATTTTTGTTTTATTTTCTGTTTTTCAATTTTTTCCAATTTTTTTATTGTTTACTTTTTGCTTATTATTGAGTCCAAGTAGTAATTTTAATGACTTGTTATTATTTAAGCCAGGGCACTGTGTGCAGGCCGGTGACTATGGGACATGTTCATTTCAAGTTTTGTGTTCTGCAGCTCTTGGCCATGGCAAGGGTTTTATTTATTGCTAGAAGGGTTAGGAAATTTGGTAATCCTGGGCCAAGTGATCCAGATAGTAGATTTATATTTCAAGTTCTTCAAATTGGTTCCATCATTTTTTCTGGCTGCAGTTTGAATCTGTGTTGTGTCATTGTCGGTATGCTCAGTAGTTAGAAGGGAAGCTGGTTTGAGATTTATGGGACCCACATTTAAATCTTTACATTTTAAAAGGGGAAAAGTAGTTATCTTCTGTATTATAACATCCTCCTAGTACGGTTAAAATCTGGCTAATAGGGTAACAACTGCGTTTTATTCCTAATTGCTGAAATAGACAATAAAGTTTTTGTTTTCTAAACTAACAGTTATTCACTACATTTACATTTTAGATGTTTTACTTTCAAGATGGCTGAATACTCCAGAAATTTGAATGTATCCCTTCTACCAATAATTTTACTGTACTTTGCTATATTTAAGAGAGATATTTACATTTGTTCTCCTTCTTATTTGTTTGTAATTAAACATTAATCTGATCTATCAGGTTAGTCTGCCCGAGGGCTTATATTTTCTGTTCTTCCTAGCAAGCAGCTCTGGATCTCTGCTTGTGCTGTTCTTGGGGTCTAGTTGCGCCATGGGTTGGATTTGACCCATAGGCCATATGTTGCCAGTCTCTGCTCTAACTCTTAACAGAAAACCCAAAAGCTATGTCATACAAAAGGACTCTTGTGCCTTAGGGAGTTGTTACCAGCTAGAAAGCACTTAGGATTTGCTGTTCCACATCTTGTGCTATCTCCTGGGAAACGCAACCAGGCCTGCTGAAAATAATTCAAATTATTTAATCATAGGAAAGTAGAGTTGGAAGGGACCTCACAATGTCATCTAGTCCAGGCCTCTGCTCAAGGCAGGTTCATCCCTGACTGAACCATCCCAGACAAGTGTTTGTCTCGTCTTCTTTCAAAAGTTTCCAAGCATGGAGAATCCACAGCTTCTCTAAGTAGCCTGTTCCAATGACTGACCACTCTCATTGTCAAAAAGTTCCTTCTGATTTCCAGTCTACATTTCCCCTGCTGCAGCTTGAGCCATTGCTCCTAGTCTGTGCTTTGTAGCCACAGAGAAAAGCCCATTCTCCATTTTCTCTATGATTACCCTTTACATATTTGAAGACTGTTATCAAACGTATGAATGTAAAAGAATAGCTTATCTTTGAGTTTAAAAAAAAAGAGGAGTAAAAATGGTGGTTTTACAATCATTTTACTATTAACACATGTGAATGTTTTACTATTAACACTTCTCAATGTGAAATGCTTTTCAAATGATATAGGCAACTTCAGATAACAAAACAACTCTTTTTGGTATTTCTAGATTGTTAGTCAGAAAAATAAGTTGTCTGAAAGTCAGGAAAAAGCTATAAACCTGAAGAAAGACTTGGCAGAGATGCAGGAGTGGATGACACAGGCTGAAGAGGAGTACTTGGAGAGAGATTTTGAGTACAAGTCCCCAGAAGAGCTAGAGAATGCTGTTGAGGAAATGAAGGTCAGACACAGTGAATACCTTTAAAGATCTGTTTGCAAAGGAACAAATACTTCTGGTTTGGGGAGGGGCTGATCGTAGATTTTATATAACAATTATTTGTACATAAAGGTTCTCTGCTTATGACAATATTTATGCTGTCCTTCAGCTACACTTTGTGAATGTTTAATTTTTTGAAGAACTAACTAATTAAGTAGACCTTTTCACTAGACAAAGAACACTTACGGTTCTGTAATGAAGAGCGTCCCATCCTGACTGACAAAACAGGATGGAGTCATTATTTGGTGCATGGGAAAAGGGAAAAAGTAATGTGTAAAGAGTAAATAAAATGAACATTTGGTGCAGAAGTAGAACATTACTCAAAGAAGGGAAATTATGATCAGCTAGCAATTACTGAAACCTGTCTATCTGCATAGATTAGTTTTGTCTTAGTCCTATTTAGCATAAATATGGTATCCTTATTTAGAAAAACGAGGGTTAAGTTATCTTCATATTCTGAAACTAAAAAACCTTGTGAAAAAATTGTGCCCCCCCATCTAGTCCTGTCCTGGCTCCTTTCCTATTTTCAAGCCACTAGTCCCACTGGTCATTTAAAATAGTAAGCCAATTAAATCATCCTCTCTGCTAGTTTTCTTGGATGGAGATGCAGAATGGGAAAGAGAATTTATCTAGATGTATACAGTTAGACCCAAGACACATGTGAAGAGGGTTTTTTTTTTTGAAAATTTGTATTATAAATCATAAATATGAGGTCAATTTTTTCATTTACTACTTTAATAATAAAACCTTTAGGCACCTATACACAAGCAGTGCAGCTGGTCCAAGACACTGGAATTCCAGCGGATCAGAGCTGACTTGATTAATTGAGTCTGCTGGAGCATGGCAATTGCTATGCTCCGGCGGCTTCTTATGTCTTGTGTATCAGCATCCCTGCGCTAAAAATGGTGGCAGGGGCACTTGAACTTTGTGCCCCTGCCACCACTTAGTTTGTGCCCCTGCCACCATTTTCCAGCGTGTGGACGCTGATACATGAGATGGGATGCTGCTTTAATTAGAGTGGCTTTTGAAGCTACTCTAATTAAAGCGCCCACCCTTGGAGCATGTGTAAAAGTGCCCTTTATTCTGACTTACGAATTGCTCTTCTCAAGGGGGCTTAATGAAACAGTTTTCAGTAAAGTTTTTTCTAGACTGATTTTTTCGATGCTTGAACAAACCATTATTACAGTCTAGTCTGATCTTCTGCATAATTCAAATACTAGAATGTCTTGCCTGGTAAACCAGAAATTTATAAGCATAGCTGCCTGTGGTTGTTAAATCCAGTTTGTGCCCTGTGTTGGTTCATTGAGAAGGAAAGGTAGTTAATGATTGCTATATTTGATAGCTTCATATCCATGCAGTCCTCTTGTATTTTCAGTAAGTGTTATGTTGAGATTCTATTTAATACTTAAATGAACGTTGTTTTCTATATTTGACCAGGAGCATCACATGGGGTTTTCAGAAGCAGTTCAGAAGCTCTGTGCTCATTGTTGGGTGTAGTAAAGCTTTCATTCACTTTAGTGGGGCAGAATTTTGCCAGTGCTTGAATGTTTTTGAAAATCATACCCCGGAAGAATATGCATATGGGGAGGCTCAAGGAGAGTGTGTCAAAGTGGGTGGATGAGGGCTTCCACAGAAGGCCAGAGAAAGTCAGGTGGTTTTTTTCATGCTTTACCTAATCTCCTTCCACGTTGTCTAGCCCGGTGTGATTGGAGTAAGGATGTTGGAATCCTGTTGATGCTGTTTCCTTTGTCTCAGGCCTTGGTTTGCTACGTGTTCCATCTCTCTGCTGCTGGCTGTTGTTTATATGTCATAATCAGAGATGATCCCAGTGGGGTGCGGGGCCTGGAGCAAAGCAGCCTGCGCAGGGCCCCCTCCCCATCCCACTTATGCCAGGGAGTGAAAACTCCAGCACACCAGACATGGTGGGATGGATGGTGACTGGAATGGGTGCCGGCCGCTGGGGAGTGAAAGCCCCAGCACACCAAACACAGCTGGATTTGGAGATGGCTGGAATAAGCAAAGAGCTGTCCAAACCGCCAGGCGGGAGGGTGGGATAAACTGCAGGTGCAGCCTCTCTGCCTGGCTCTGCGGGGCCCCCCTAAAGCGCAGGTTCCAGGGCAGTTGCACCAAACCACCCCTCCTGTCCCCTCACCAGGATGACCCTGGTCATAAGCATGTTGCTCGATTGTAACAGGTTGCCCTTCACCATCTTCCTGGTCATCCGTGCCTTATGTGGGGCGCCCTTGGAGTCCTCCTTGGAATTTGTCTGTCCCACCTTTAATCTCTTCTGCTCTGTCTTGATGGAAATTGTTATGCGAGCGGGAGACTGCCTATTATATCGGGGATGTTGGGGTCCTCTCCTAAGATAGCTTGACCCCCTTTTTTCTCTAGCTAGGCCTCCCTGTCCAAACCCAGTACACAGGGTTTGACCCTGAGGCTCTAGCTTTTTCTTCCAGTGCCTGGAGGCTCGTGGCCCCCTTTTCAGCTCCCTTCTGGAGCCTGGCACTCCCTGGCCCTGAGGCATGGGTGCTGGCCCCACAGCCAGGAGGCTGCAAGTTAAAAACCAGAGTGCAACCCTTGAACTCGCACCCTGTCAGTCCAAATGAAAAAAAACGCACCCCAGGTGCACCAGCCTCCCTGGCCTTTTTAAGATCGTCCTTCAAGTGCTGGGGTTTGAGTTGCCCAAAAAGCTGTGCCCTCACTGGTGCTGGGGTCTGTGCCCCCAAAAGCTGTGCCCTCACTGGTGCCGGGTTCCCACTCTGTAGTGGGTCCCCAAAATGAGGCCTCCTCTGTCCACTAATAGCTTCACCCAAACCACCAGTCTTACTCAATAATCACAAAAAAATAAAATAAAGCAAAGCAGCAGGTCAGCTTACATGAATTTGTTTCGGGCCTCAGCTCCACACTGTTGTCCACAGTCCTGGCTGGGGTGCAGCCGCCATCTCTCAGGGGCTTCTGTAGCTTCCCCCTTCCGGCTGTGGGCGCTCCCCAAGTGTCTTCAGAGGTGCTGCTGAGCCACTTACTGCCAGTCAACCCAGGGTTTTTGTAGTCCTGCCTCTTCCGGTCAGCTGACTAGCCAACCAGGTTCAGCAGTTGACCCCTTCCTCACCAGCCCTCCGTGCCCAGAAAGTTCTGGCGTTAAAGGGACGCACATGCTTCCTCGTAACAGGGTTAGGGTTCCCTGTTACATAGAGACATTATGAAGTTTTTTGGATTATGGCTTGTCTCACATATTAGAGTGTATAGTTCAGCATACAATCAGCGCATGACTGCTTGGGGCAGGAGCCCTTTTTTTCATGAATCTTCGTTCTGCGCACCCTCTGCACCTCTACCTCTCCTGCATTTCCCAGTGGCTCTGTAGATCCAATTTAGGTTCTGATAGAGGTAAATTGTCAGTGAAAATTTGGATCCCCAGTCTAAACTGCCACTTAAGTGGAGTCTTGAGAGCTCCTTATTTTGGGGCCTTCTAGCACAGTTCCTAGTAAACCAGGATAAGGTTTTATGTAGCAGTCCTCTAACTACATGTCTTAGTATCTGAATCCAAGTCATTCCCATGTCATCATATGTTGGTTAAAACAGGAGCAAGATCCTACCAGTCTGTCCTGAGATTTTCTTTGCTTGTCTTCTGTGTTAATTCCTGTGTAACACATATTTTAACTCTTTAAGAACTGTTTAGAGTGATTCTTTGCTTGGTTTTGTTGTGTATTTTCAATGACCAAACCTTGTTTAAGCCTATGAATGTGTCTGTATATAAAATAAATGTGGTGGTTTGATAGAATATGTACAAAACCATACATTTTTTACATCAGTTGAGATGCCTATGAATATAAGTGAGTGCAGAATTTGGTCCAATGTTCATACCTAAGCATATGGAAAAATCAGACACAGTCTTTTAAACCTGTAATTAGAAAAACATTTAGAGGTTGCAGTTTTGAGATTTAAAGCATTGGTTTTATTAAATGTTTTCAACCTATGGCAGACGCGGGCAGTCAGATACTGATCAAGTTGACATTAACATTTCTTTGAGCAGAGGGCGAAAGAGGATGTGTTGCAGAAAGAAGTGAGGGTGAAGATTTTGAAAGACAACATCAAGATGTTAGCTGCTAAAGTGCCATCTGGTGGTCAGGACCTGACATCTGAACTTAATGTTGTGTTAGAGAACTACCAGCTGCTGTGTAATAGGATCCGAGGGAAATGTCACACTTTAGAGGTATGATTCATAACTTTCAGCTCAATAAAACTCAGTCACAAGAAGAAAACAGATGCACTCAAAATGTGAGATTTTATTATTAAGTCCTAATGTTTTTAGCATGAACAAATTTTATACCAGTTGCATTCTATAGTGTCTTTCCCCTATGGGTAAGCTCCTATGTCTCAAAAAGAGTCCTCTTATTTTGCATTTATCCTCTATGATCACTCTGTATTGCAATAAACAATCTTAAATTTAGTGTTTTCCCACAGCTTTAACGTTCTCTCCATTGCTTCCAAAGTGGCAAAAAACTGTCTGAACAACATACCGCTTATACTGTTCAATGTTAATTCCAATAATTAAAATGGGGCAATTTTAGATTTGTGTAAAATGGCATTACATTTGTTTGTTTTCCAAGGGACAGGTGAGAAGTGTGCCATGAGAACTTACAGGTGTGTAATAATTCTGCAGGCAGATTCCTGATGTGCAGGTATTTTGCATTACAAAATAGTGTTTTTGACTTGGTTCAGGACTCAGTTAAAAACAAGTGGTTTTTAAGCAACCTTTTAACCTGCTGTAATGTAGTTGTATCTTTTGTTGCGTTCATTTATGCCTTGTACTAGTGCCTCACTGTAGTGCGTTGAATGGATCTTCTCCCAGTTGGACAGAATCTGTAATGTAAGTTGCTGTCTAGGCTAATTTAATGTTTCCTTTTGCTTATAGGAGGTGTGGTCTTGTTGGATTGAGCTGCTTCAGTATCTGGACCTAGAAACAGCCTGGCTAAACACACTGGAAGAAAGAGTGCAAAGTACAGAAAACCTGCCTGACAAATTTAATGCTGTCAATGAAGCCCTTGAGGTATTATGGTCATCCCGTTGAATTGATGACATTTCTGATAGTTTTATGAAGAAGTTTATAATATGTTTTACTTGAAGACAAAAATGCCGCCCCCCGCCACACATACATGCACACACATACACACACACACATCCAGTGCCTACTCTGGCCAGTCCAGGAACCACGCTGCATGTGGTGCCCATCGTGGGGTGGCTAGAGCAAGCACCCTGTACAGCACACTCCCAGAGTGGGTACTGAGGGTGCCAAATCTGGCTTGGGTATAGAAGAGGGTGGGTTTCCAAACTGGCCCCATATGGATGGCCCTAGGCTCTGCAAAGGGGACCAGTCTGACGCATGTTGTTTGTGGAGTGCGAGTCAACTCGAGACCTAGGGCTAGCACTGGGGGCTGCATGATGGGACTCCATGGGCTGAATTTTTGATATAGAGTAACAAGGCATAGGAAACAAGTGTTATGAGACAGCTGTTGAAAATATGAGAGCTGTTATGTGTGACCTCTGCAGTCACTGTTGTGGCAGTACCTAGTTGGTTATCTTGGAGAATTGTAGGACAAGTGGTGTCTGAAAGGTGTGCTGTATTCATGCATTCTGGCTGCTGTAAATTTTCTCTGTTAACTAGTCCCTGGAATCTGTCCTGCGCCATCCAGCTGATAATCGAACCCAGATTCGTGAACTGGGTCAGACTTTGATTGATGGAGGGATTCTTGATGACATCATCAGTGAAAAAGTGGAGGCCTTCAATGCCCGCTATGAAGAATTAAGTCACTTGGTAAGAATTCCAAATCAAGGTGGGGAGAGAGGCTTTTAACTTTATTGTCAGCTTAGCATACTCCTAAAGAATTTGAACAGAAAGCTGGAATTGTTGTTAGGTAAGTGAAATCGCACACCTGAGGCTGAACAATTGTAATACAGGATTAGGAAGAAAGGCATTCACAAAAGCTGAATAGTAGCTGTTCTTACTGCTGCTATTTTTGAAATAGATGTGACCAAATAGAAAAGATATTCCATTCTCAAATGATCATGGTACTCTTTGAAATGAGGCCATTTGCAGCACACCAGGATATCTCCCGTCCGCTACTAGCAAATTGGGGATACATCTGTCTTTCTTGTGCACATTGACCTTAGAAGATGAGGAACGCAGACGGCTTCCACTTCTATGCCTGAAAATGACTAGGATCAAATCAAGTAAAGAGTGTGAAGAAGATAATCTGTTTCTGTTCACCTCCTCTTTTGTTTTAACACCTGGTGGAATGCTAGCTGCATCTCGGGTTCTTAGATTTACACATTTTATGTCTTTTAATTCAGGAACACCAGTACCTGTTGACCAGTAATGTCAGAGGAGCATTCTAATGCTTTAGGATACGTAGCTGCTTTGTTCTGGATTTTGTGCATGTGCATGAGAGAGAATTTTAAAATTATGAGTAATATACATCAGTTTAGTCACATTTTTCCCAAATATTACTTCTTGCCTGGTTGCTGTCATGGTAACTCTTTTTACAGTGGGTTATTTTGAAGGTTAAGTAGGTGTTTGTGTTTCTTGTATACTTTTTGTATGTATGTGCATAAGTAAGGGAATAGCGGTCATGGGTGAAATGTGTGACTGGAGGTAACATTTCACTTTTAGTTTGTGTATTCATGAACTAGAGAAGTTTGCAGCGTTACAAGCTCCCCAAATCCTATATAGCAGGGGTTGTCAACCGGGGGTAAATGTACTCCCAGGAGTATTTCAGAAGGCCCTAGGGAGTATGTTTGGGTCGGGATGGAGCACTGCCACACACCATCCTGTGAAGGTGCTGCCTGCCTTCGTGCTCAGCCGTGTGCTGCTCCCCCCCCACCCTGCTCCATGTCCAGGTTAAGAAACGCAGCTGTTTTGACAAAATTTGTTGTCCTTCTTACTGAGGTGATAAAAAAGACTGTCTGTGCAACTCAGATAAAATATCAGAGTTGTTTGCTGGCTACAATTACTAGTCTAAATGACACATCAGGTTTTAGAAGGGAGCATTATCTAGGGTTTGTATTTCTTTCATTTCATGTATGAGTTTTGGGTTTTCTTCATTTTTGTTCTGAGACACAAAAATACTTGTGCTGAATAACTCCTTCTTCCTATTTAGGCAGTGAGCAGGCAGATTGCTTTGGAACAGCAGCTTCAGACTATGCGGGAAACTGATCACATGCTCCAAGTGTTGCAAGAAAACTTAGCAGAGCTGGATAGACAATTGACTTCTTACTTGACAGATAGAGTAGATGCCTCCCAGATGCCACAGGAAGCCCAGGTATTCTAAAAGAGCGTTTTTACTGCATAAGATGTATAATGATGATGCTGGGACTGGATCAGACTATCTTGCAGGTCCTTGCTGGTTTAATATAATAGATTATCTGAATGTGGTATTTTATAGAAGGATGCGTTAAAGTGTCTGATCTAGGGTTCCAAATCTATCAAGATTTGTGTAGGGTTGACAGCATATATGTTACACTTCTGCTATATGGATGGACATACTTCTGGTGGGCTTCATGTCCAACATATGATGTGTAACCATTTTGTACTATTTTTCCCCTGTCTTCTTTTGTAATGATATGGCAGAAAATTCAAGCAGAGATTGCAGCTCATGAATCCACTTTGGAGGAGCTGAAGAGAAATGCACGTTTCCTGCCTCCAGCATCTCCAGAATGCAGATCCCCTCGTGGGGGAACTCAGCTGGATGTCTTGCAGGTAAATATATTTCCCTGTCATGAACTAAGGATCAGAGAATTTTCAGCTTCCAATAGGGAACTACATTTGTTTCCTTGATTTTCTGCATATCAAAAAGATAAATGGTGTTTATATTTATATGGGTGAAACTGGGAGCTGCCAAGAGCTGATGAATTGAAAAGCAGTTATTTTCATCCTTTTAGTACCATAGATGGGAATACTTAAAATCCATTATTTTCTCTTTTAGTGGAGTGGTTACTTTGAAAGTATGTGATACAGAATTGGAGGCCTGTTGCACCTCAAATAAGATAATAAGAATAGATCACGTAGTTTAAAACTTTGCTTAAAGTGAAGCGTTTTAACACGTGCAGTTGAAAGTTGGAAATGGAAGCTGATGGGAGCTTTAAATTCCATTTGAAAGTTCAGAAATTAATTTAAAATTATTTTTTTTTATTAATGGAAACAGAGAAAACTCCGGGAGGTGTCTACAAAGTATCAGCTTTTCCAGAAACCAGCCAATTTTGAGCAGCGCATGTTAGATTGTAAGCGTGTCTTGGATGGCGTAAAGGCAGAACTCTATGTCCTGGATGTGAAGGATATTGATCCAGATGTAATCCAAGCTCACTTGGACAAGTGTATGGTAAAACAGTTATTGGTGGATTATTACAAAATTTTAACCTTTTTCTGAAGAACTATGCATTTGAATTTTTTGAATGTTAACCCCTTTGTGAAGAATTATGTATTTTGCTCACTTTTATGTCCTGATTGAAAAAACGCTGTTGTAACTTGCTACAGTATACAGAGCTGTTACTAGTTAAAGGCTTATAATTCATTTGGGTGAGTATACATGGTCATAAAAATAATGGATTGGTAATCAGAAGACATATGTCATACTTCAGCTGTGGTTGTAATCTTTCTCCACCCTGCCTTTTGCTTATTTTATGGAGACAACATGCAGTGTAGGAACATGTTTATTTAGCTCATATTAGTTTAATTCAAATACCATGCATAGAAGAGTAAAAATCATGGGGGAACTTGTCAACTTTGGTTAAGTTATGGAATAAATAGTGAAATTATTAGAGTAAATTTTATGAAGGTTTATTCTAATAATACAACAAAAACGGATTTTCTACATTTTGAAATCTAATTTGAAAATAAGTGTTCCTTTTTACCTTGTTGTCTTTTTTTCCCCTCTTGACCTGAAGAGGAAGAACTAGAGTATTAATGTTAGCATGGTATCTGAGTTCTCAGCAGATCCAAGTAATATTTATCTAAAATCACAAAATATGTACTATACAATGGTCACTAGAATGCACGTTTTTATTTTGTAGAAGCTCTATAAAACACTAAGTGAGGTAAAGTTGGAGGTGGAGACTGTAATCAAAACAGGACGGCAGATTGTACAGAAACAGCAGACAGATAATCCCAAAGGGATGGATGAACAATTGACAGCACTGAAACTTCTTTATAATGATCTGGGTGCACAGGTAAGATGAATGACAAATATAAATGCATACATTGTAGGGGTGCACGTAGCTTCCGTTGCTTACTTGATTTGGAGAAGATTTGGCTTGATTTTTGGAGGCTGAATCACTGATTCTGAATTGAATCAGGAGACAAAAAAACCTGCTCTGAATTGAATTGGAAAAAGATTAGGAGATTTGGTGATTCAGAAGGCAGTCTTGCAGGGAAACAGAAACTAAGAGGGAGGAGGAGTGGGGGCAGGGAGACTGACATCCAGCTGGCCAGTGACTGTGATCGTTTCCTGAGTCCCCTTCCAATCACAGTGCTCTGGGGGAGGGACATAGAAACAGCACATAAGCCTTTGTCTGCAGCCTTTCTGTCCCTTTTGTGAGATGTTTCTGCCTGACCACTGGGAAGACCCCCTGTTTCAGACTACCATCCCTGCTCTTTTCATCTTGCCTTAACACACACACAGTTACATGTCACAAGTTTTGCTTTGAACAGTTTGAGGTGCAGTTTCCCAGAAACCCCTGCACCTATCTCCTTGAAAATTGGCAGACCCCATGCCCTCAGAAGGGGCTACCATCTCTGCTGTTTTCATCCAAATCTGCCAAAAAATGACAAAGTTGTAGGTATTTCAGTGATTTCCCATTACAGTCTATGGCCAGATCACGGAATCTGTCCGAATCAGTGCCAAATCTTCTGAAGCTGATTCAGCTGAATTGATTCGGGACAGTGATCCAAATCTCTGAATTGAATCACTGTCCTCTGAATTGGCCAAATGTGAATCTGAATTGAACTCCCCTCTTGTCAGCACGGAGGTGGAAAAGGATCTGGGAGTCATTATTGACTCCAAGATGAACATGAGTTGGCAATGTGGGGAGGCGGCTAGGAAGGCCAACTGCACCTTGTTGTGCATCCACAGATGCATCTCGAGCAGGTCCAAGGAGGTGATCCTCCCCCTCTATGCGGCACTGGTCAGGCCGCAGCTGGAGTACTGCGTCCAGTTCTGGGCGCCGCACTTTAAGAGGGATGTGGACAGCATGGAGAGGGTCCAGAGGAGGGCCACTCGT